GTACAAAACTATAGCTAACACTGAAGCTTCAATGTACTTTATAAAGTAGCTTCTTCTCATTGTCACTGTGTATATTTATATGCTCAACAACCTTGACAGAACCTTGTCATTTTTTATGCAATAGCTAAGACTATTGTTATCTGTTAGCAAACATATTTTTCTATGTATTATTCAAGGTGGCTTATGGATTACCAGTAATTCTGGAAAACGTTCTTCAGTGAATATAAATACACTATCAACTTTTTAGCTATAACATATCTTGTCCCATTGTGCTTGTATAGTTTTTTTTTAATGTATCCATTGTATACATTAGCAAATGGTGATATGTTCATGCCTTGTTATCATTCAGTAAACAATTGCAGCTAACTATATACATCTCAATCTACAGCTTCCCCATGGCAACAACATATAGTTATCTGTACAATGGGTCAGGTCGGGTAAGAACTACATTTACAATATTGATCATTTCAGTATGCTCTCTTTTATTACCATATTGGTTGTGTAGAGCACATATTTGAATCCAGTTTCTAAACTGCCTTAACCCAGTGCATCTTGACTCCGATGGCTAAATAAATAATTTTTTTGTTTTTAATTGTAGTGGGGGTTTTTTCTTTCCATAAATTATGTTTTATTCACTTGCAATGTGCCTTTGAATTTGCTAGAAAAGTTGATTACTCCAGTAGGAATCAATTCCCTAGCACAGCCCTCTTCCTCCTTGCACATCGTAGCACTCTACTTTTCTTTCAGTGCCTGATAACTCTCTTAGCTGGCCCAGCTCCTCTGCTCCTCCATACAAAACCTTTTATGTAGCTTCTGGGGAGGAGCAAATGAAAATACTATATATACCTGAGGGACACCTCTGAGTCTGTTGGGGCTCCAGACATCACATCCATGATGGTGGCGCCCAGCAGCAGTCTCAGGCCTTTTGGATGCCTACACAAGGGAGGATTTTACAGGTAAATAACATACCTAAAATATGATAAATGCACCTATAATCTTATACAGGAAGATTGTTTTTGAAATGAGTGGTCAGGCAACATGGTCTCTTTGAGGTTAACCTTTAAAACAAAAAAGTATAGGAGCTGCCCATGCTGGGTTGTTTTTAAGGGTACAGGTTTCCAGAATGTATTATACCTTAGATTTGGTAAAAGCATGGACATGTTGGGTTTTGTGACATGATACACATGAACTAGGGTGTTGACTCGGGAGTGATGCTACCTTTGGGACAAACATAAAAGCAGCTTTTGTAGAAGGAGGCATTCACATTTCAACCTAGAGCAGATGATAATGTACTGAAGTAAATTTTATTACATTTAAAGCTGAACAGTGGAATAGCCAAATATTGTCCTAAATACCAGAGGCATGTGTATTCATGTTTGAATCTTGGTGTGCTTTGTGTATTTCTTTCAGATCTGTGCAGTAATGCAGTGTGAAACTGCCTCTGTGCAGGAGCTTTGTGTAATTAGGACCAGTCAGTGCTGTTCTCCCTCCGTGTCTCTCCTGTAGTTTTCTGCAGGCAGCCTGTAGTCCTGGGTCCTTCTCACAGCTTGGCTCTCTGTTTAGTCTATGTACAGAGCAGTCATGATATCACTGATATTTTTACAAGGTAAACTGGGTTTACAAAAGCATTGGGTGCGCAAAAAAGTAAATTTATATCCTTTGTTGCTATTGCGGAACATTTAGATTAAAGTTGTGGTGCCGAAAGTTCAGCTTTAATGCCGGAGAGCAAAACTGAGATGGTTCAGTATACATGTGAAGTCACCATCACTACAGGTGGCAGCTGATTTTAGGGCTAAAGGGCGTCACAAAGCATGGTAAGGAACAGACATTTCTATTTTAGAATCTCTTGTTTTCTGTAAAGAGATAGTAGGATGCTTTAACATCACTGCACTAATGCATAAACCCTTTATTGCTCTATTTATATGAGGAGGAAATTGGGCAGCCATTTATTGTTTTGGATCACTGCTATTATCACAAATGTTTATCCAGAGTACTTTGTGCTTTTGGAAGCAAATGCTTCGAGCATTTGGTTGTTTGGGGCATAAAAGGAATTTTTTTTAATATAATTTGTTTTATCAGTGCTGGTGTTTTTGTTCATCGTATGTTTAATTAACCAAAAGGTTAATAGTTCACAATGATTTGTGAATAAAAACCTGCTCTGAAAAGCCCATAGTTATTATTATTATTCAAGATAAACGGAGAGATACAGAGCTAACTGGACGTAAGCTGTCAGAAAAGTGGTGTTGATATTCAAAGCACATCCTATATAGCGTCTAATTGACGGTAAAGTCAGCACCCTGTTAATTGTTTTCCTAATGAAATAAATTGCATTATTTAGGAGAGGAAAGAGAAAATCCAGATTCTTAAAGCAATGCCTGAGGAACTCTTTCAGAGAGGACATTAGGAAATGGAAGCTTTCAGTCTCAGTCTAATGGATCCTCAACAGATGGTTTTAAAGGGGCTTTAAACTTAGTTGGCCTACAACATTACATCATATAAGAAAATTAGAATATTTACAAATTATGATTGATTTTTTTTTTGTTACTATTATAAGCTTTAGTTATTAATATACTAAATATATTTTTAGAAATACAAATAAATAAATAAACATTTTCTGCTTTATTTTACACGAGGAAACAAATTGCCAGCATGGAAATATAATATTGTATATTATCTGAATATTGCTACTTACCAGAATTTTAGCAGAATGCAATGAATTAAAACAAATAACTCCTAAAAGAGAACAATATTTATAGGTGCATTGGCAATAATACTCCAGTTTCCACCCACACTCCAAAGACATGCTGGTGGGTTAATTGGTTCCTTACTAAATTAACCCTAATATGTGTGTGTACGTATGTGAGATAGGGACCTTAGATTGTAAGATCCTTGAAGGCAGGGACTGATGTGAATGTACAATATGTTAAGTGCTGTATAAATTGTGGGTGATATATAAGTGCCTGTAATAAATAAAGGCAGGACTTTCAACAAGTAGGCAGCAATAAACAGTAATAGAAATGCATGAGGATATAACTATGTTGTTTTAAGGGTACCTTTCTTATCCTAACTTCATTATCTGGTGAGTCACTGAACAGGAATAGGTATGCAAGATGGGAGATCAGATTTAAAGCCCAAATGAACTCCCATGTAAAACACAATCAATAGGTTCCAGATACAGTAAAATGGTAAGTGAGTACATTCTTACCATTTGTTCAGCTGCTAAGGCAGTCCCAGTCATAGTACAATAGCCTGTCCCCAGCTGTCATGCTGCAGAGAAGGACCAGTGCTCTCTGTATGTAAGTAGCAGCTTCTCTGCAGTAGTCTGACATGCCCTTTGTATGTTAGAGTTAGAGCTCTCCACTCAGCAAAGCTCATGCTCCCTGCTGATTGGAAAGCTATGTTTCCTAACATAAGGTATGTCGGACTAATGCAGAGAGGCTGCTGCTTTCACACAGAGAGCAGTAGCATGATGGCAGATAACAGGAATAACAATATAAAGACTGAATCTTTTGAACTTGTTCATAAACTTGTTCATAAACGTGTCCTGAGTGAGAGGAACAAGTCAGCACAAAAACAGTAAGCAGCAATATTTGGAACCATTCTCTACATATTCATTAAGAACATATGGCTACCCTCATGTACATAGAGTCTTATGTGTGGACATAAAAGACCATTTACAGAGGTTGTGTTACCTTGCTTTCACTGAGAAAAAAAATGACTGGGGATGCCCAAATGCTTCTATAAAAATGTACTGTAAATATACTAAATATACAGAGACACAAGGGGGTTGACTTACTAACGACAAACAAGCTTTTCATTTTGCAATGGAATTCAGTTTGCAAAGAATATCATGAGCAAAGTAAATACAAAATACTATTTTTGCTTGCACAGGATTGGATGATGGAAGTATGCAGAGTTATATCTCATTCGCTGAGCTAAGAGAAAATTCCCTTGCAAAGTGAACAGTCTTATTGCCTTTAATATATCTAATACATGTAGGTACGATTAGGTAAATGAAACAGCTCATGTTTACAGACATATTTAGACGGCTATTATGAAAAGTCACGGGGGTTGATTTACTAAAGGCAAATAGGCTGTCCACTTTGCAGGGGAAGTTTCCCCTTAGCTTAATAAATGAGGGGACGCTCTGCTGACTTCCATCAACCAAGCATGTGCAAGCAACAATAGTTTGTTTCTTTCTTGCACATGATAAGGTATACTTTGCAAAGTGAAATTTCACCACATTCACCAAACTAAGGGACCTGTCACCTGCAAAGTGCAAATCTGCTTGCAAAGTGAACAGCCTACAGGTGAAACTCGAATAATTAGAATATCGTGCAAAGTTCATTTATTTCACTAATGCAACTTAAAAGGTGAAACTAATATATGGGATAGACTCATTACATGCAAAGCAAGATAGTTCAAGCCTTGATTTGTCATAATTGTGGTGATTATGGCTTACAGCTCAGGAAAACCCCAAGAACCCCAAATCCACAACTTCAAAAAAGTAGAATATTGCATGCAATCAATAAAACAATATCGGACCACTGAAAAGTACAAGCATGCATATGTACTCAGTACTTGGTTTGGGCCCCTTTTGCAGCACTTACTGCAATTACTTTTGCACGATATTCGAATTATTCGAGTTTCACCTGTATATGCCTTTAGTAAATCAACCCCACGGATTTCTTTTGGGAGATGAATGTGAACATAAAGGGTATCTTGTCCTGATATTTTGGAGATTATTTACTCAGGACTTTCATATTGGATTTATGTCTTTTAACTTTTATCGTACCTTGAAAACATTACATTTTGTTGAACATAAACTGCCCCAGGTATGCCTGCCAAAATGTTTGTCAAAATCTGGCTGTTTTGGCTTCTCACTAAAGTCAATAATAGGTAAAACTAGTGTTTGCAATTGCCTTTTTCGCATATGAATAACATGTAAAATGTGTAAGAGCATAGCCTTAAAAAATGATCATTCATGTGTTTTTTTACAGGTGCTTTTCCAGGTCTGACCACCTTGCTCTGCATATGAAGAGACATATTTAAGGACATGTCAAAGCAGTAGTGGCTCTTAAGCCTAAGAGGACCAAGGATTGCAGTGGATTCCAGTGGTTATGCCCATGTTATAGCAGGAGTTACAGAACATTTCTTCATGTAAAACGTTGTACACAAAAATCCATATCAAAAGTTCATGCACCGTCATACACTCAAGTATACAAGATAATGTTTGTTATGCCTTACCCCCCAGCCTAATTAAGAGACGCCGAGTTTTGGAGAGCTGAGTGCTTAAGAAACTGTTCCATACTGTTCTTGTGTTACTCTGGAAGCCAAGACACTGAAAATTCCTGCAAGCAAACAGTAATATAAAGGTATCAAAAGAACCCACTTTTTTGAAGCTCAGAAGCTGCTATGAAATCACCTTCGAGTTGCATTGTTGTAGCACTAATATTTTCTTTTAAAAAGTAAATTAAGAGGAAAAAAGACTGGTTCCAAACTAGAAAACTCATTCGAGCCTCTTGGTTCAGGTTTATATTTGGACTCCCAATTATAAAGAGTTCTAGCTCTACCAAGCTCTGTTCTGTTTATGTGGTCTCTTATGGTTTGGCCTCATTACAAAGCTGTTAAGATCACGTTTGACTGAATTCCCTAGGCCTTACTGGCACTGGACTGGTGGGGTCAGAATAATTAAACCATTATGGCAACTGTTAGGTCTGTGTTTTAGAAGATCATGTGGATGGAGGAGCACTCATAAAACCCCCAACCTTATTTATTTTTACTTCTGTTGGCTGTAGCACACCTTATGCACTATGGACTTGTAAAAGCCACTGACACTGACTGAAGAGGGAGCCTGTTTTATTATGGGCACCCTTCACCACCAGTGTGCGCACTTCCAAAGGTTAAATAACCTTTCATTTTTTTCAGTGATATGTTATTTTAGTATTTGCTTCATTTAAAAGGCTTTTGTCACATTCTTTTCATGGATAAGTATATTACTGAACTTTTCAATCTCCATCTGGACACTTAGCTTGAATTGGACCAGCAACTTAGACTTGACTTCTAACAACAAATGGGCAGCAAGTTTACTCCCATTGAACTTTCCAAATCGTGTGCTTGATCACTGACGTCTACTCCTAACAATATAACTAGTTAGAAACTTGATGTTATTTCCAGAGCAGCTGCATTTTGTACTAAATATTTTGTTTTGAGTATCTGAAGACATCAACTACAAAAAGCCAAATATGTTGACATTGGATAATGGAGGACACTTACAGCAAAATTATATCGCCATATTGACCCTTTGTTGGTCAAAGGCAGACAATTCCTTGTTTATCAAGGCCTTTCATTGGACACTCTTAGCTATAATTAAGAGGGTCCTAATGGATATACATTGTTGGCATTTATCCAGGTTATTGGTGTTTTTTTCCACTTGGGACATTTTAAAAGTTGTGAACTGCAGGTCTAACTTGACCATATGTTGATCAAATCTAGACTCATAAAAATTAAACTTAACCCATCAATGCTCTGGTAATGAGTATCCATGTACATACAACACAAACAGTAGTAATTAGTCTTTGCTCCAAAAACTGACCATCAGACCATATCAAGTGGTCAATTCAAGTAGGTGTGGTGGGGAACAGGTTGTATATTTTGTATATTCTGGGACCACCCCTAAGCAGCTAGTAAAATTGCACATTTGGTCCCACTGTGTCCAGATGAACGCAGCTCTACCCAGCCGGCTGGCCTCTTTTTAACTTGTTTTGACTCCTTGACTGTTAAGCAAAAAAAGGTAGAAAAAATGAAAAAAAAAGAAGAAAAAAAAGGTAAAAAAACAAATATAAAAATTAAAAAAGAAAGAAAAAATGGCAAAAAAAGAAAAAAAACTCAAAATGAAAAAAATTATAAAACAAAATCACTTTAAATATTTGAGACTTTCAACAGAAGGAATAGAAAATGAAAGAGCAGCCGTGGCACTTGAGGTTTAATTCTGAAGCTGCCAGTGGGTAAACAAAATTTCCGTTGACCGATCCCTCTGGTTTCTAAAGGGTTTTAAAGCTTCTCTTTACTAATGTCATATAGGTCCTGCCGAAAAACACAATTTCATCCTCTAATACCTTTGAGTTTTCATGCTCATTATTTCCTTGTTTATTTATTATCATTATTACTTTTTATGGGGTGAGATGTTATTATGACCTGAAACCAAAACCTATGAACATTTTAGGTGTTCCGAAGAATCTGAAAAAGGGTGAATAAAAAAGTTTGATTCCAAAGATTTTAAAATCGAAAATGTACTTACTGTACCTGAAGCACTGCTTGTCGACAATCCTTGTAGTCCTCTGCTTCTGCATACTAGTTTTACATATTTTAATGTTATGGCCATTCTGAAGGATTTTCGATATTGTGATAAAACTAAGGAAAATGAATTCATAGAGAGCAAATGCTAAACATAATAGGAAATGTAAATGCTAGTTTACCTGCATTTCGAAAAGGCACCTTCTTTGTAGATATTTTATACACATGTGGTTGATAGAGGAGCATGTACATTAGGGGAAATTTAGCAGAAAATGTTGCTATCCATTTTCATCCCACTGGCCCAAATGTGTCTTTTGAGATGCAAATTGTAGGACAATGTGGCCTACTTAAACTCATTAAGGTCTTTATTGCCCATAAATACTATGAACAGTTCAATGTGTTCTTGCAAACTCTTTAATATGTTATCATTATGCAGAAAACTGTTTGCCCTCCATTTCTGTGTATGCATATAGAAAGGGTCATTTCTAATTTTTATCTAATGTTACACTTTACATTCAGTTAATAACTACAGAATTTTGTCAGTCTGCGGAAAAAAAAATCAATTTTGTAAGGGACGAGTTAAACTGTCTATGTTTACATCATAGGTGTATCTTTGTGCAGAGGGAGCACTTTGACATCTCTTTCCTGTTTGTAATCAATGGGCAAAGACATTTTCTCCATGGTATTTCAGTTGATTTCTCTGAAATCCCAGAGGTGTTGTAAATAAGGTCATTTTTGTAGACAAGTAGCAAGCGTCACTATGTGCACTTTCTTTGATGATATGAATGCATTCAGATACAATGTAGTGACACTTACATTAGCATAGTTGTCAATTGTCCCTGTCTCTGCTGGACAGTCCTCACCTTTTACCCCGACCCCATTTTCTAGGGAATGTCCTGCCAGGCAGTGGATAGCACACAAGTTGACGCAGCCAGTGGCAAGCATCACCATTTGTTTCCTGTCCCAGAAAGCATCCTTCTGTTTTTTCCAGAAATGTTGGCAGCTATGCATCTGAGACAGTGTCATTGTACTTTGTCTATTATGAATAATATATGAGGTGATGTTAAACTTAGTTTTGTTAAGAAAAAGTCATGAAAAAAACCATAGGAGCAGTTCTAAAGGACATATGGCAGACACCATTCCTGACTTGTTTTGAAGGTGCATGGACTGCTATCCGTATCCCTCCTGCACTACTTGATGAGTTATGAACCTAGAGCTAGCATGTACAAATAGATATGCACATGCTTGTTTAGGGTCAGTGACTCTCCTAGTATTAACCTCCCTGGCGGTATTCCCGAGTGTAGCTCAGGGTTACTTTTCCATACCATAAGTGGTAACCCCCGAGCTACACTCGGGAATGCCGCATAGCATTTACTTACCTTGTCCCTCGAGCCGCGTTTTGTTCTGCGGCCGAGGCAGACTCCTGGGTTCCGTAGTTTGCGCGCGTACACGTCGCAGGGGGGCGGAACCGGGGGCATATTAAAAGAAAAAAACGACAAAGACGAAAACAATTAAAAAAAAATAGACAGAAAAATGACATGAAAAAAATCATACCACCAGGGAGGTTAAAGAAAGGATAAAGATGACAACACTGGATCATGAACCTCCAAACACAGATCAATATTGTAGCATTACCATCTTTTTTTTTTTTACAACATCCTGCTTTCAAAGTAATAGGTAAAAAAAGGAATACAAAACAGTTTTTAACCTAATTTTAATAACAAATTCAAGTATGTTCATCATCTCTAGTTTCTATGTATCGTAAGTGACCTATAATTATTTACTGGAGGATGCAATGTTCCCCTCTACTGCAGTCTTTTAAGCCCTTTAAGCAATTTCAAGATGTAAATGCACTTCCTTAATTTTTTTTTCACTTTTAGGGCTTGTTCACACCATGTGCAGACCAGAACAGTTCGTTCCCGGACCAAAAAAGCATCCCAATGAATCCCTATGGTACTTCTGGGCTCTATTCACACCATCGCAGTCCGTTCCAATAAAAAAAAATACTGCTTTTCTCATTTTCTCTGGTCTGGAATGCTTTGGAACACATCAAAAATGCATACAAACACACTGTAACTCACTGAACTATACCAGAAAGCCCATTATAAGCTAAATGAAAAAACTGTGGCAAATATGTGGTAAAAACACACTGCACTGCGTTTGCAGCTCTGCTAAAGATCTGGTCAAGACATGGTGTGAACATAGCCTTACAACAGAACTGGCGTTTGAATTAGGTAAACACACATGGCATTGTGCAGCTGGCTGCAGTAGTAAAGGATAATATATTGGTATGCATTCATGTTTTAATACCCTTCACAGGAATCACACTCTTCCACACTTGTAAAGTTTAAAGATACTGTTTTGCCATAAAAGTGCTCACTTTCTCAGATAAACCCAAGTATACGACTTCATCAGAATATGTGCAGTAGTTATGAAGATTATGCTGATAACCACTTGTAGAAGATGAGCATAGGTTTTTCTGGGGAATACAATAAAATAAATTTCCATGTGACCATTTGGATTTTAAAGGAAATATATTGGCCATTGCTGATCTCCTTCTCAAATTACTTATTGCCTGGCTCAGCTGCCATGGAAATCCCCTGATTTCAGTGCCTACTAAGTGACCTATCACAACATGCTTATAACTGGCAAAGTCAGGCCAGCGGATCTGCAGACAGGTTCCAGGACTGAGAAAGCATTGAAGGCATTGGGATTGACTTACTAAAGGAGCAGAGACTGTTAATTTTGCTAAGTAAATGTTCACTTAGCTTAGTAAATAAGCTGAAGCACTGTTCATTTCGAATATATATCTAATCATGTGCAATGGAAATTTAAAAAAAATATTTTGCTTATACATTGGTTTATTGAGGTGAGCATACTTTTTACCTATGGTAAGTGAACATTCATTTTGGCCTGTGAACATGCCCAAACCCATTACTAAATCAATTGCATTAAATCAATAGGCAGCCAAGAAACTTGTATGAGGCCTTCAAAGGCAGTGTCCATGTTTTTCACAGCACAGGTTTATGTTCAGGTTAAAATGTTTAACTTAAAGTGACACAAAACTCAGGAGTTAAATCTTATAAATACATTCAAGTACCTTAACTATTTACACAAATGTACCTTATTTGTGTATTTCCAAATATTTTTGCCACTATTACTTTTTTGAATGTACCTTATGATTAGTGTTTATTCATTTTTAAAAGAGGACACAAAA